TATCTATCTATCTATCTATCTATCTATCTATCTATCTATCTCAGTCTTAACTCGGCACTTGAAGATTGCGTTGTGCATGAAGCTTCAAGTCGTGCTACCGATTAAAAAAATATGTATATTTATCAATATATAGTTTATAGCTCTGTTATATTATATCGAGCACTATTTTATTCATACCAACACTCAATGTGCGATATATATATATATATATATATATATATATATATATATATATATATATATATATATCGGTCAAAGATTTAGTGCTCGTCCTAGGTACGACGTTAAACTACATCCGCGTTCTGGGTAAGACGTTAAACTACGTCTAGCAGCAAGGCGTCTGATCAGGAGGTTTTGAGGAGCGTGGAACGACCTCTTAATTACTGGTGTTTCCAGATCCACCCTGACCCGGGGTGATGGCACCTCTTGTGGTCCCAGCTATGGGCAAATAGTTAACTATTACCAGCAATACTTTTCTGAAAAAATTATTACCAGCAATACAATTTTGAAGGAAATATATTACCAGAAACAGATTTTTCACAAAACAAAAATTTTACCAGCAATAAAAAATTTTGTCGGCATTAAATAACCCATTGAGATTGATATGTCGTTAAACAAAATAAACCAATCTAAACCAAAGAATATATATTCTATTCATACGAATCTATCCTTAAAATGTTATCGGCATTAATTAACCAATGGAGGTTGATATGCCGTTAAACAAAATAAACCAATCTAAACCAAAGAATACATATTCTATTCATACGAATCTATCCTAAAAATGTTGTCGGCATTAAATAAGCCATTGACGTTGATATTCCGTTAAACAAAATACGCCTAAACCAAACCTAAGTTTTAGTGCCACCCACTGGTTGTGTGTTTTTTTTTTAAATTAATTTACTAGCTGACTTCGGAGCAGAGACACATTCTCTTCTTGAAGGGATTTATTATATATTTTATTATTATTATTGTTGTAATAATAATAATAATGATAATAACAACAACAACAACAATAACAGCAACAGCAGCAGCAGCAGCAGAAGAAGAAGAAGAAGAATTAGTCCATTACTGCATAAAGTTTCCTTATAATTTTAACTCTTTTACCCTAATCTACCTCGCTGTTTAAGGGTAAACTTCGGTACGGAGGATTTAAAATGATGGGAATCCATGCACTATTGGGTTAAATAGATGCAGTAGCCTTTCTTAGGAGTTAATTAAAACAAAGAAGGTATGCTGCTTACTAATTATTAAATGCAGAGAGTGGCCTCTTAACTTTTGATCTATAGTGCATGTCTGTGTGCGCCAACATATATACTAGGTGTCCCCCCCCAAAATGTATGCACACTTTAAATAATTAGGAAGTCAGTATTTGTTGAAATGCAACTCATTTTCAAAATTTAATAAAATCTACAGACATTATTTTATCGTTTTATCAACGCCTGTTTTCAAACTGACGTCTGTTCTAGCCCAGGCACTACTGACAACGCGAAGCAAGGGAATCGCAAACATCACCAAACATTTCATTTGGTATTTTTGTGCATTCCTGTTCAATAGCTGCTCTCAATTCAGTGACTGTTGCAGGTTTCACGGCGTAGACTTTATCGTTTAAGTATCCCCATAAAAAAAAGTCTTGTGGTGTGAACGCGGAAGGTATTCTACGAACGAGGCCGGCGTGGGTCCGATTTTTTTTTTTTTTTGGTGGGGAGGGCCCGTTGTGGCCGCTGCCATCTTTTTTCATCATTGTTTTATGGCCAACTGCCATTTTTTAATTATTTTTAAACTGACGTTACATTGTTAGCTATCAACTAATAATATACATCGTGTATCTGCGTAGCTGGTGCAGTGCGTATTGCGCAGGAACCCCTGTCGAGTTTTTCTTTTTGTACATTTTATTTCTTTCTACCTACGTTATATTGTCAGACATTAATTATAATAATCAACATGGCCGGTACTTACCACCTCTCAACTGCGTGGTCGATGCCTATTGGGAAGGTGGGAAGAAGTCCACGGCTAGTAATTAAAATAAAATTTCTAGTCTTTTTTTATTTTATACATTTCTGGAAAGATGAAACCAAGAAAATGATCGCTTAAAAATAAAAATGTTTAAAGATCTCAACACAAGAAAAATTTTGCAGAAAACTGAAATACTGTTCTTAAAACAAATTTTTAAAACAATCCAGTTTGTGTTGTGTTGGAATCTTTGTAAATAAAACTTTTCGGCGGAGATGTGTCGGTTATAGAAATGTAAAAATTTGCGACTTAATCATTATTTTCGAGTAAAATTTAATCATGAAAATATTGGTGGCTATTACAAAAATAATAACAGTTTTAAAATAAAAAAAAGCCTATTCATTATAAAAGTAATTTATTAGTAAATATGTACCGAAATTTTTCATTTAAATTGAATAATTCCCTGCTTTTTGGTAATTTTAAAAAAGCCGCCCTTCCCCTCAATTTTTCTTCGAGTGATTGTAGCCCCCAGGTTGTGAAATTTTGAAACGACATGTTGTAGGGGAGGGGCGTATCATAGCTTTTTGGCCGGTGAGGCCCCGCAACCCTAGCACTGGCCCTGCTTGGCAAGATCTCATCAAGGAAGGATCTAACTCCAATCTTCGGTCTGGATCATCTTTATTAATACCATGGACTAATCTTGGAAAGTAATCATTTTGAATTATCTAACTCACGATTCGCTTGCCGCACAGATTTTCTTGAACTTTTTTATACATTTCCAGTACACTTTCTTGGTTTGTGGAGCTTGTCTATGTCCGTGGTCTTCTGGGACGCTTCTCGTGGATATTCTGAACAGTTCTATCGGCTTCAACGTCACCTCTAATTCGAGTGATGTTAAGTCGCATTGGTCGATCTTTTTGAAGCTCCTCAGCTAAACTGTCTTTGCACTTCAACTGTGTTTTCACACTTCCAGTAACATTTTAGAATGAATTTCCTTTGTTCAAAGCTTAGTTTATTCTGTAATCATTAATTCTAATGGGTTTAAACTGATAAGAAAAAGCATCAATTAAGCTATCAGCTGTTAAGGTGTGTATACATTTTGATGAGACCCTATATATATATATATATATATATATATATATATATATATATATATATATATATATATATTGAAAGTGCCTGAAAACAATACCACGGGTTAACCCAAGCCTTGTGAGTGAAACTGCGAAGACAGAACTCTTGTGGGCCGTCGATAGCTGTGCTAGCACGAAGCCAGAAGTCATCGTGGCCGAAGGTTTGAACGTGCTGGCCTTGTTCAAATTGTTGATCACGGTTGATAACACGCTCCCTCCAAGAAACTGTAACTAAGGTCTGCTCAGCATAGTTGCAGTATAAACCACAGGTAGGTTATGTGGGTGTTGAGAAAACACAAATGTGCCTGAGCGGGCGTCTGCTATAGGGATAGGCTAGCCGCCCTAATAGACGAGTAACCTCGAATACGAGTGGTCATCTATTATATATATATATATATGTGTGTGTGTGTGTGTGTGTGTGTGTGAGAGAGAGAGAGAGAGAGAGAGAGAGAATGAGTGGAGGAGAAAAGAGTGCATGGCCATCTCACTTCAAGTGATCGGCAGTGTTGTCGACGGTATAAAACTTAGACGAAGATGGTGCATCGATTGACGTAAATCACCTTGAGGAAGAGGAAGAATACTGAAATAAAAAAGAATCTTTTGTCGTCAAGAGCTGACATTCGACAATCGGTTCGGATTTGGATAATGTACAACTTTCTCCAGCCGAACTTAACGTTAGCCACTCAGACTCCTGACACTGTAATTCGGTCTTTTAATTCAATATCGAATTCGTTCTCGTCGATTTCCCAAGGTTTCTCTAGTTCGGCTATCCGAACCATAATATGGTGGGGATCCATAAAGGGCAGTTACTTCAATATCGACATCGATCTCTTAGATTTCTCAACGTTCCACTAGTCCGGCTATTCGGACCATAATAAGACGGAAATCAAGAAAATTCAGTTACTTCAATATCGACTTCGATCTCTTCGATTTCCCAACGTTCCACTAGTCCGGCTATTCGAACAATAATAAGATGGAAATAAATCTCTTCGATTTCTTAGCGTTCCACTAGTTCGGTTATTCAAACCATAATAAGATGGAGATCGAGAAAAATCATTTACTTCAATATCGACTTCGATCTCTTTGATTTCCCAACGTTCCACTAATTCGGCTCAAGCTTAAGCGCAGTACTAGACTGACGGCAAGGTCTCTTCAATTTGCAGTTGAAATGGCTCAATATAACCGTAAGTTCTATGCTAATAGTTTCTTTTCTTACACGTTTTGCTTATGGAACTCTCTTTTCCCGTTCTATGCTTTCCAGCCAACTTTGACTTCTTTTATTGGTCTCGCTCCTTAATATTGTTTCTCTTTTGTTTTATTCTTTCGCGCTCAGTAATCCCTTGTGTCTTAGTGGCTTTACTGCCTTGCATGGGGTGAAATGCCAGAAAAAAAGAAAAGATAACCTACATAGCAATGCACTTAATTTCCCTGTAGATTTAGAACTGTTTACACTCTTAGATATTATAATTTTGCCAGCAATTACATATTGCAATACGGCCTATTTACGATAGATATATTTGTTTTATTCATTGTTTTTGCATTCATTTTGTCTGTCTCGTCTTCGTTACTGACTTTTTGTAAACAATTTTTCGCCTCCTCATTCAGCACAAATATCCAGACAATTTTTCCCGGTGCTTCTATATTGATTGATTTGGTTTTCTTTTTTTTTGACTGTTTATCAACCTTTTTCATGTTATTTAAAAACAAATAATATTTTTGGCTGCTAAGAACTAATTTTGAAGATAGTAATGATTCTACTAAGTAACCAATAGCAGTTGGAAGGGAAATTATGAATTCATACCTTTCCCAAGGCTATTTGTGCGTAAGTGAATATAACGAACCCAACCAGAATTGGAACTCGGCTCTACGATTTCCAATTCCGAGCCGTTATCCATTACACCACGCGTGCATCCAAGTTTACAGCACCTGGTATTCACAAGCGGTAACCCATTTATGTACTGACCAGGCTCGACATTGCTTAACTTCGGTGATCGTACGAGAACCGGTGTTTCAACGTGATATGGCTGTAAGTAAACTTAATGAAACTTAAATCAGCTTGTATTCCCTAGTGGTCACCCATCTAGGTACTGGCCAGAATCGACGTTGCTTAATTTCGGTAATCGGAAACGAACCGGTGTTTAAACATGATATGGCCGTAAGCCATAACTTCCGCACATCCAAGCTTACAGCACCTAAGCGGCCATCCATTTAGGAAATGACTCAATCCTGTTTAACTTCTTTGATCGTCCAAGATCCGGTGTTTCAATCTGATATGGCTGTAATTTATACCATCCGCATATCCAAGCTTACAGCACCTGATATCCCCAAGCGGTCACACATCTAAGTACTGACCAAACTCGACGTTGCTTAACTTTTGTGATCGTACAAGACCCGCTATTTCAACGTGATATGGTCGTAAACCAGTACCAGTAATCACTTTCTTAATGAATACTCCGCTCAACACCCCGCCGATAACCAAACGGACAATATATATGATCTGTTAATGAATTCAATTTTATTATTTAAACCAATGACGCGTGGGTTAAACTTATAAAATTTGTGACTTTATTAGGTTGTTCGTTAAAGAATGTCCAGTTTTAAAAGAAGCCGTTTGTGTTCTAATAAATTATTATAAATGTTGCACAAAAATATATTACTCATTCCTAACGATAACCTTTCCTGGATATGACGATAAACTACATCCGCGTCCTGGGTAAGACGATAAACGACGTCCAACAGCAAGGCCTCTGATCAGGAGGCTTTGAGGTGTGTGGAACCACCTCTTAATTGCTGGTGTTCCCAGTTCTGCCCTGACCATGACCCGGGGTAGTAGCATCTGTTAGGGTCCCAGCTATGGATAAATAGTTAATCCCCAAACTAGGGTCAAAACACAATGAAAGTGTAAAAATAGGTTTTAATACCAGCAGTACATTTTTTTTAAATATTACCAGCAATACACAATTTACATTATACGGACTATTGTCCTCATCTTTGTCGCCATATTTATTACAACGTTTCGGCCGTTGTACGCTCCGGGCTTCTTCAGGTGGTTGGAATGTCGAACTGAACCCTTTATTTCGCTCACTGGAGTAGACTGTTCTAGTACCACGTGCGATGTCTAATGGATGTCAGTTATCAGTTATCCTTGAGGACATTTGGTACAGGGGATAAAGGCGTTAGTTAGATCGAGTGACAGGACCCAAAAAGTGTGAGTTCAATACCTGGTTAAGGCGGTGGGGAACTTAGAGAGGGAATTAAGCAGGAGATGACTGATAACTGACATCCATTAGAACTAGAACAGTCTAGCCCAGTGAGCGATATTAAGGGTTCAGTTCGACATTCCAACCACCTGAAGAAGGCCGGAGCGTATAACGGCTGAAACGTTGTAATAAATATGGCGACAAAGTTGAGGACAATAGTTAGAATAATTTAAATAGTGTATATAATACCTCATCTCAGAAATATAGAAAGATACCAGCAATACATTTTTGAAAAAAAAATATTACCAACAATATACGTTTGGAAAAAAATATTACCAGCAATAAAAATCTGGACGGCATTAAATAACCGATTGAGGCTGATAATCCGTAAAACAAAACAAACCAAACCAAACATAACGATAACGTAAAAAGTGTCCTCTTTAAATTAAGACATTATATACCTCTCATCTTGAACATGGAAAAAAGGAGAGATGCGTTTACCTTTTTTGCAAGCTGCTAAAATTAACAGGGCTTTGTGTGAAGGATTCAATTGCAATTGAATAGTATGGTTCTGGTTTCAGATGTTCTACGAGTTTTGATAATAAAGTTGGTAGAGGACGTCCATCTGCTATTGACAATCAACATCTGAAGAACAAAAGCCACGTCAAACTGTTGGAAAAACGTCTCTGATAATGGGTGTCAGCATTTCAACAATATCGAACCACCTCAAGAATATTGGCAAGGTGAAGAAACTCGATTAATGGGTTCCACGTGAACTCAGTGAAAGTTAAAGAGTTTGACGTTTTGAAGTTTGTCCAATGCGACATGTGAGAAATTCGAATCTTCTATTTCTTGATCAAATAGTGACCTGTGATGACAAATGGATCTTTTATAACAATCGTAAATGATCGGTTCAATGGCTAGATTATGATAAAGGAATCTAAAACTTTCCAAAATCGAAATTGCACCAACAGAATATTATGGTGACTGTCTGGTAGTTTGGTAGTGGCGTCATCCATTACTGCTTTCTGGAATTCAGCCATAGCATCACTGCCAAGGTCAGTGTATTGCCAGCAACAGTATATAATACATATTCAATTAAACAAAATGCGATCGGCACTAGTTAGTCGTTAAGGTCCAATTCTGCTTAATGACAATGCTCAGACACATGTTGACAATTCTCAAGTATCTTGACAATTTTTCAAGTATCTTGACAATTTTTCAAGCATCTTGAGAATTTTTCGAACATTTTGAGAATTTTTCGAACATCTTGACAATTTTCAAGCATCTTGACAATTTTTCATGCATCTTGACAAATTTGGAGCATCTTGGCAATTTTCAAGTATTTTACCATTTCAATCATCTTGACAATTTTTAAGTATTTTACCATTTCAAGCATCTTGACAATTTTTCGAACATCTTGATAATTTTCAAGCATTTTGACAATTTTCCAGGCATCTTGACAATTTTCAAGCATTTTACCAATTTTAAGCATCATGGCAATTTTCCAAGCTTTTAGACAATTTTTTAAGACAAAAGATATTCCGTTTCAAAGGAGATTCAATAACTGCATTGAAAGATTTCTTGGCGTCTGTTTTATCGTCAAGGTATACATAGAATTGAAACTCGGTGGCACAAATGTATAAATATCCAGGGATCCTATTTTGACTGGTTTAAACACTATTTACTTACATTGGTTTAGGTATAGAAATTTGATTCTAAATTGGACATTATTTTCGGAACAACCTAATATGATTGATCTGCTTTTTATCAATGAACACTGTCTTAAACTGGTGTTTTTTATTGGAACAAGTATCTTTTGCAACTTACTGACGCGTATTGAAATCCTTACAGCATTTAGTATTGTTAAATTTATCGCTAACATTTTTGTCGAGATTTAAAATCTCTACGTAAACCAATCGATGAAAATTGAATAAGCTGATTTGTTTGAAAATTATTTTGACAAAACCCTACTTCACAGTGTAATTATTTCTTTAATTTAATTTTATAGATGTTTATGGTAAATAATATTTTTTAAGAATTGTTTCTTTTTAACAACGAAGAATAAATTCTTAGGATTTCTTAATCTTGAGCATGCAACATACAATTGGTCATGTGTAAATATCTATGTTTTCAGCCAAAATTGCCCCCTTGCTTATTTTCACTTCTCTCGAAAATTTCGTTTTGGTCGGTCAATATATGGCTATTTTAGAGGTTATGGCGGACGAACTAACATAAGTCACATAATTTTATATATAGATATCGATGATGGGCATTTTTGGAAATTTAATATCATATATATATATATATATATATATATATATATATATATATATATATATATAGTAGAAATTGTTAATTTCTCGTCATTCAAGTTTTCGATGTCGACATTATTTCTCTCTTTCGCTGTAGCTGCATCTGTTGCCATGGAAAGCGTGGAAATTCATTCTCTTTCCTGGCTTATGCCACGCCAGGAAACCAATAAATCATTGTCTGCTGTCCCAGAGGAAAGACTTGGTCAAATATAAAATCTACATTAGCAAAGGTCTTGCGGTTCTGTGCCATAAATTCCCAACGATTCGTAAACACCTACTTCATCTGGATTTGCTTTAACTGTCACGAATTTTCTTCTTCCCGTCCCATCTCATTCCAAAACAGTTCCGTTCATCCCATTCGAGGCTGGATCAACAAGTTCCTGGCTTGATACGCAGTTTTTTTTTTCTTTAATTTAATCAGTATAACCTAATGCAAGACAGTAAAGCCACTAAAACACAGTGGAAGAATTAGGAACCGAAACATTAATAAAGAAGTGAAAAGAGTATTCAGTAGGAGAGTAGATAGCGATTGCATTTAAATTTTTGCTGAAACATGTCTGGAAAGCGTGGAGTCGGAAAGGAGTTCCACAAGCGATTAAAGAAACTGTTAGCATAGAACTTACGTTTACATCTCACCATCTCAGCTAAAAATGGATGAGATCTCTACTCCAGTCTAGTACTGCACTTAAAGTAAAAAAGTCTAGGTACCCTAGCGAAAAGCCGATCTGAACAATTATCATAGAAGTATTTACACAAAAGGCACAGAGAAGCAACCTTACGGCGGTAAGAAAATGACTGAAGCCGAGCCGCCAGATCAGGACCAATAATATATGCTGATTCTTTAGATTTTATCAAGAAGCTCAAGGTAATTAACAAAGACTCCAGATCATATGTGACAGGAATGTTCTGAGCATGGGCGAATGGTAAGCATAGATATCTAAGATTCCGGAGAGACGAATTGTCTCGCACGACACAAGGAACTGGCATTCTTAGCAGTTTACCTAGAAATGGATTCAATATAGTCTTTCCACCTCACGTCAGCTGAGAATGTTAACCCGAAAAGGCGCAACGTATCACTTTTCTGGAGGATAGCATCAGCCATACTGATGGAAGGCAGAGATGAGTCTCTCAGGTTATTAATGGAGAAGAAGTTAAAATTAACAAGCCATCTTTTGCCCCAATTAACAACAGATATATATATATATATATATATATATATATATATATATATATATATAATATATAATCGGTTGCCCCCATGCAAGGGCAGAAAAACCTCTGAGACATAAGGAGTCTCTGGGTGTGGTCGAAACATTAATAATGAGCGAGAAGAGAAGCCGATAGGACAGTAGATAGCGATTGACATTGCATTTATATATTTGCAGATTAAGGTTGGCTGGAAAGCTTGGAGCCAGAAGGGAGTTCTACAAGCGAAATGCGCGAGAAAAGAAACTGTTAGCGTAGAATTTTCGGCTACATCTAGCCAGTTCATCTGTAAATTGATAAGATCTCAATGCTAGTCTAGGACTGCGCTTAAATTCAATAAGTTTAGGTACCCTAGCGAGGAGCTTATCCGAACAATTACCATGAAAAGAGACAGAAGCAACCTTACGTCGGTGAGAAAGTGACTGAATCCGAGCCACCAGATCAGGACTAATAATAATGCTGAATCATCTTTGTATTTTATCAAGGTGCTTAAGGTAAATAGGAAGGCACCGGACAATATGTGGCAGCAATATTCTAGGCATGGACGAATGGTAGACCTATATATATGTAAGATATATCCCGGAAAGAAAAATTGTCAGGAAATTTTTATCTGAATATTTCACTTTACAATATTCGAGCTTTATGATTAATATTCCCGTTTAATTAAGGGCACTGCTAAAGAAGGGAATTAGAACGAA